TCATGCTATTGTTTTTAAGTTCGTTCTTTTCAGGTTGATCATCGTCATAAACTCCCAAATGATGGGGTGATAACTCTGGAATCTCATCGGAATCGTAGTATTTATTGGAAGTCATTTCAGTAGGTATATCGAAAATACTGTTCGAAACTTCGTAGGAAGCAATTTCCTACAGGTTTAATTCTGAACTATTCTCTAGACCGTCGAATACAGAGTCTTGGTTTGGCCAAAGTCAGAACAAGCAAGCTATTTGGCTAGATAAACTTTGTCTGTTTCTAAAACATAAATTAACAACGTTAGTGTACAAACAAACAGCACGGTCTACTAGTACAGGGAAAATCAGAGACAAATAACATACCGAACAGTAGCCAGAGAATAGGAAAAATGAGTCAACAAGCAAATATTGTTTTACAATGAACATCGAAATGTGATTGGTTAATAAAGAGATACAGTCGTACAAGGTCAAAGGGAGTTAATGTGGTGGTGGGCGTTTCACTTTATTATTGGTGGTTTCGTCTATCGATCACATTTTACAGTGAGATTTTCAAATGCGTACGTGAAATTCCAGTGAAAATCATGTTTACCATAGACATATATTTGGAAATATAAACTGAACGGATAAGTTTGTTCCCTATTTTATCAATATCTCATCTACTATTACAAAATGTATAGATGTTCTGCGATTGCATTTTGTCATAAAATGTTTGTTCTGATTGTTTGACCAGAGTTGACCAACAAGAGTGATCACCTTTAACATCTTCATCTAACTCCACTTTGTAAATACCTATTGACATGTATTCCTAATCTATTACTTTTATTGATGCTAACGTTGAACTTAAGTAAACCTGGTAGATATTTTCTAACTTATTACACAGCTTCTCTAGTTTATTTTCAGTTTATAAGTAATCACGACTTTACTACTAATGCACTGTAATCAGAAGTATGGAAGGAACTTCCTTTCGTTAATCTACACCGTATCTGAAACAAATCAAAAAATAAAATTTCACTCAACATGTGTGAATAGTCATTTTTTTATTCAGCTCAGATGAAGAAATAAATTCACATCAGCATATCAAAATGAATTTATACACTACTTACAGGTTTGTCAATCAAATATCATTACTATGACATTGCACACACAGTAGTTCCCTATTGACTGGTCGTACTGAACAGACATAATGACTAAACGTACCACATGGTGAACTGTTACTCGGAGAACTGAAGTGTTTGACTGATTAAAAACTATCATATTGACCATCATTAACTTTACTGCGTTTCATGTGTATCTGTGTTACTCAAATTTTGAACTCCTTTGTTTATAGCCTTGACCATGAAGATTTTCGGTTTCACGCTTTTTAAGTTCGTAATTTATGAAGTTTCACACTGACAACCTAAAAACTAAAGGCCTGTTGTTTAGACGCTCTAATTATTTTTAGAATAATATATTTGGGCTAGTTACTTGTAATTTACTGATAAACTTTAGTACTCGAACTGAAATTTGGTTCTCTTGTTATTTGGGTTATAAGGTACAGGTGGATCAATCGACCGTACTACAATAACGGACTAGATCAAATTCAAGATGTAACATGAATACCCAGGTTAATTGTCAGGATATTGTTTTTCAGTCGGTGGTTGAAATAAATGACATCCCACGCAGAAGTCATTGTCACCATGACCGGACTCTTCATAGGGTTCTAGAATCTAAACTAGCTCATTAATTTCAATATTTACTATGTTAATGTCGTCATGGCCCGCGTTTGAGATGGACGCATCCAGGTCTACATTTTGAATTACTTCATTGTTGTTCGGTATGTCTGGCTTTTCAGCGGTTGGGGTAAAAATAGCCGGACAGTGAGGGCGACTCATAGAGTTGTGTGGATATTGAGAGAACACCGGGACCAGGAACCGGACACTAGATATAGTAATATGTTAAGAATGTTGGTGATTAGTTACCAGGTTATTCAAACCCCGTATTACATCCATTGGCGTTGGTTACAAGGCACGAAGTGTGTCGCGAACGTCTTGAACCCACGAATACATGTAGAGTACAGACAATGCCCACTGTCTTTCGCACAGGCTTATGAGGCAAAAAGTGTAAATATTTTGAATGGCGTACGTGTTGTTGACATAGTGACTGCATTTCAAACCAGAAACTACTGCCATATTCCACGACGTCTGTGAGGATTGTATGCCTACCGGTATAGTTCCATTCAGAAAAGATATTTTCTGGAAACCTGATGGTTCTGTCTGTGATGGTGAATAAGTCATTTTAATACGTTGACAAGAACGCAGACAACACGTCTTCGTGAGCCCAATATATCTTGAGTGTTAGAAACGTCCTCAACCATTTGGTGATACCTTTTTTGCAACCATTAGACACTTCTAAGAAACAGAGGAAATGCACAACGTAAAATAGTGACCCCCTTTAAATTATACGTTTTCGTTACTCTGAGCACAGCTTCTGTGAATTTTGTGTTGCTCTGAATAAGCGCCTGAACGCTCGATTCAACCTTTCTACCTTAGCCAATGCACTATCCTCAAAAGAAAGGAAAAAAGGTGGGATTTTCCTGTTTAATGAAATTGACGTACAAATAGAATCCAAAATGATATTGTTATAACCCTGCGAAAATTATGAATGGTAATTTTTAAAAACTATTTATGGGTCAATACGACACATATATTTTTATTGTATAATTATTAAGTAGCTAAACTATGAATATTCATGTTCCTCTTATTAAAAGCTTTATTTCTACCCATAGACTATTGATATACCATTTACCGTTCTTGAGTTATACCCAGTCCAATAACTACAGTCCCTCACATTCACAGTCACATTTGGCTATATCTTGTACGAATGTTATTTCCTACTTTATGGTGCGATGTGGTCTGATTGATTTGTATATAAACGAAGTATGTTTGAAATACATGATTCGTATCGCGGGCGCTGAAATTGGTTTTCTCTACTTAATAGGCAGGGCAAGGCAAGAAGCAGGACCGATAACTACTCTAGACTGCTCGTACGGGGTTATGCGTCATTGGTCCGGTCGATAAATCACTGTTCTCTAACTGGTGGTATCATTACGTTACATATTAATAGGGCACTAGTTATAACAAATAACACAACCCAACAAAAGCGTGTTCGCATCGTCGGAACGATCTTGGCAAAAATCATTCTAGTCATATAAGGAAAGGTGATCATCATTGAAAAATCCATCTAACCAAGATTCTTATCATTCAATCCCACAACGATTCGAACATACAACTGAACACAGAAGAAATTGGATTTACTTCTTATAGTTGTCTTCTCGCTAAAGTTATAGCATCTCACGTGCAATTGAGTTTGTTCACATAATTCACATAATTTGGTCAAGCCTTTTTGTTAACTTATTTAACCGACAGAGTCATTCGTACAATAAAAACTTATACATACCATTGTATTTTTATTATTATCGCACTTGTATGAATATGTTGGTTTGAACATTGCTTACTGCCTACGCACATATTAATTCTGCTAGCCTTACTATTAGTCGCTTAATTGATTCAATCATTTCACTATGTATATATAAGTACATTTTAATCCTGTTCACTGACTCGCTCATTCGACTTGCGCACTCACTTGCTTGCTGTAATTTTGGTGCAATAATAAACGTAATCAATACTTCGTATTCGCCTTCTGATTAATACACCTTCGAAGCGTTATCTAGTGACGGTTATCAGGACGAACTGTATACGAATTTTGAGGATCATATTGAATACCGACCACCACGAAGTACTTGAACTAATAGTAAGGCTAATAAAAATCTCAGTTAATTACAAGATGCTAGGATTAAGTGAACTTATGAAGTGATAGTTTCAGGAAAATAACCTCTTTTCAGACGCTCAAGACTATACTAAGTGCCATTTAAATAATGACCGGTTTTCCTGAAAAAAAATGTAACAAAACATGGATACCATATGATAAAAGACACACATCTATAGGTTTTTAAACAGGAGATTTACAAAAAATAGTTAGGAAATGTACAATTAAGTTGAGAACGCATTTATCTGACTAATGAGATGGAAATAATTCATTTCCTGTATTAATTATTTATATATCCTCAAAAATGTAATTAAAACCTGAATATTTCTACTAAAGTCATTGAGAAATACATAACATTCACAACCACAAACTTGTTCCAATTTTTCTCAACATCCTAAATTTATATTTATGATCTCTTTGTGCATACAATTAAACTGAAAAAATTGACAATTGATTTTCATCAGGAGATACATAGGAACTGCAGATATATTTATATGAAACAAGAAGGCTAATCAATATTTTTGATAAAAGATACAAATAGGTAAAACTATGATTCGTTTCATTACCATAGTCTAATGCTTAATGGTCATTAAGTGATATACAGGAAAGAACAATAAGAAGATTATAATCTGGTTATTTGTCTAGTACATTTTTATTGACAACAATTATAACCCCTTTAGATGGATAACATTGTTTTTAACGTAATTTGTTCGGTCTGTATTCACAAATCAATTTTATCAACCGCACTCATAAATATGTCGTTTACATAACCATACTACTGGTAAGTAACTGGTATTTTTATGACAGTTTTTTCAATCTAGTCCGACTTATTATGTGTATGTTAATTACCAGTAATTGGTTTAATGTACTGTCGTTAACGTAGCACGGGAACTATAATTGGGAGAAATTCGTATTTTTATGGAAGTAATATCAATCATATTACAATAAGTAGTAATGATCCAAGTGCCAGGGAATTAATTAGGACGTCTAGCAATGAGTTGGTTAACTGATTACGACACTGATGTCATTTACTCCGGACACCATCAGCAACAACCTATTATGGGAATGGAAAAATTATCTGCCAGAGGAGGAAATTAGTAATAGACTCTGGATGTGGATAGGAAATGCATTACGGAAACCATCAAAATAAATCCTGAGGCAAGCCCTAACCTGTATTCTTGAAGTCAAAATGAAAGGAGGAAGACTAATGAACAAATTATGCAGGGAATTGGAGCCAGACATAAAAAGGATGTATAACAAATGGAAATCATTGCCCAGGACAGAGTTCGATGAAAAATGCTGGTGGGCGGCCTGTGCTCCTCCACAAGGGGTAATAGGCGTAAGTCTATTTTACCACATAATAGCAAATATATGGGTGTGATGTGATATGAAATTAACGGCACACAGTTTATAATATATAATAAGGAGTAAACTCACTGTTTTTTACTCGAAGCGATGTCGTTTCGAAGACCTTGTAGATTTTAATTTCTCCACTCACTGAGAAACAAAGCAACCGAAAAAACTACTTCAAACCATATTCATAAGAAATCGTTTTGAAGATGTGTTCCATCACAAAAAGATACTATTTGGTGAATCAAGTGGTACTAGATAGGCCGTTTCATCCCAATTCGAAACCTTTCAACAATATCCAACATCCATATCTGAGTGCATCAAATCCTGGGCCGTCACGGCTCGTTATCACGACGATAACTATAGACCGCCAAGTTAGGGATAAATGAAATATTTTAGACTCCAGTATTTAATATGATTCCCACTCAATATTACTGTTAAATCCATAATTCCTGACTTAGATGATCCCACAAACCATGGCTTCACAATAGGTTTCGCAGATATTTATATGGAAGTTGATCAATAATAAGCATATGACTAAGATACATGGAACAGAAATGAACAGCTATGGGGAGCATAGTAACCAGTACGATGTCACGCCTACATGGGCTTTTGAACAGACCAAATAATCTATTATTTTCGAGTTGGTGTCCAAACATATCTTAACCTTGCTAGCTATTCGCTCATAACCTTGACTGATTTTATTTAAGCGTGTGTGTTTATCACTTACTCTTTTCACTACATATCATAAGCTTATTTTTCTGTCCGGCTCTAAGCAGTGAGTCACGTTTTATCAAGTGGAGTAGGCATATCTACCTTCTCTGCTTCTGATTTTACTGTCTGAGTCAACGAGTGCCTGGAATAAATGCTCCCAACTTGACTCGTATTTAGATGTTTATTACTACCGTCACCAAAACGGAGTTAGCTTAAGTAGAATATGGGAAATCAAACAGGCGATTTATGTTCATGGTTAATTCGTCATTCGTTCATAATGAAATGAGACCTAAGGCTTAGGAGAGTTTCTTGGTTACCAAACTAACCTGAATTTGCGAAATTATTTGCTTTAAGAACATACAAAAACGCGTATTAGTATCGACGGTCCAAAATTAATTACTTGTCTCATTTGTAGTTTGTTTTTATAACATCTCGAATTAACGTGTTCTAATATTTAATAAAACCTCTTTTTCAGTGAAACACAGTAATATGAATACTCTGAAAAAGGATAAAAACCTTTATGAAGAATATAAAGGGAAGTAAGTGAAGAAAAACAAACAAATACAGGATGTGAAAAAAAACAGTAAAATCGTTTACTGTATCATATCCGACAAATTTCTTCTGAACACATACGCTAGGGTTATAGGTTCGGACCCATATGGCTTCTCCTATATGAAGGAGACGGGATCGAAACCCAGACAAGATTTTTTCTTGAATTATATATAATAACTGAGAAAAATGAAATTGATGGGCAATTATGATAGATCTCGCAAGCTTCAGTTGATTATCTCTTACATTGGATCGGCTGATTGTTATTAATGTTCATCATACAAAACCTCAATCGAGTCTAGTAATCTAATTCCCAAGACAAAGTAAAAAAAATTGTAGGTTTTTAATGACCCTGCCTAACAATTTATTGGGTCTGTTTAGACATCTGAGTACATACATTTTGGAAGCATAATTCTACACCACATGTTTATTTGTGCCTCGATGATTTCTTGCCTGGGATTGAGTGGGAAGTTATACTATGACAGTACAAATGTTAACTAGGAATGGCATTGAAGATAGGCATTTTGTTTTGTTTATTTTTCACCAATTAGTGCACTTGGTATGACCGTGTTGTTTGAAGCTTTCAAAAACGCCCATAAGTAGAAATTATTTAAAGTGTCAATACGATCAATTTAATAAACGATTAACAAAGAATAATTTACAACAACAAACTATATCTATTGTAATTTTTAAGTCAAGTTTATGGTTATTTGAAGTTGGGATTATGTTTATTTCAACTATTACTAGAGACTTTAAGACTTAGTGAGATACCAGTACATTATTCTGGCATATTGTCCGGAAATAAGGAAGTTTTCTAGTACTAATAACCGTTATAAATTGATATTTCAATCATTAGTCTCATTGGCAAAGAATGAACATAGTGAATACCTACATTATTGTGATATTCAATCATGTAAAAATAATTCTATAGTAGGAGCGATAAGTGACTTAACCATGAATTCCAGTAAAAAAAGACACCATTTTTATTATAACTTCGCTGTATATATCCAACTAGGTGATCTAACATAATAATTCCGTTGGTAACTAAGAAGTCATTGTATGTATTATCATTGAATTATTGTCTTACCCAGCCTAATGATCAAACTCTGTCAATAAATCCATAAAACGTCATTGGTATCTGTTAATAACGTATCGGTTTGGTTTCGATCTAATGACCAATTTGTGTGACACAAAAATAATCGGCAATCATATAACTCCCACTATAAATCAGGCAGTGAATGTAGATTGCCGATAAAAAAAAGTAACCATAGTATTAGTTCAGAGATTATCAACAAGAACGCTTTCCCTCAACATTGTAATCGGTAGAAAGTGTTAACAGTTCCAAATTAGTCGATATTCATGCGTTACTACAAAATAAGTTGTATGAATTTATTCAAAAAAGTTTTTATGTGAATTTTTCTATATATTAATTATTAGCTATACACAATTAAGTTGGGTTTATTCTAAGTAAAACTTATATTACACCTCATGACCATGACTGTTTTATTAAAACTTTTATTATGTGTTATGGTAAATGAAGATTTTATTTCCAATGTGATTGTATGTGTATATATAGTGGGAACTGAAACAAGAAAGGATAGATTATATATATATATATATATATATATAAATGAACGATAAAATAAATCTTTACATCAGCAGACGAATATAAATGCGTTATAAACAATTATACTAGTGATAATAAAGGATAAACAAGATGAGAATCTAAAAGAATATGATTTATAAATACTACGAAAGATACATCACATAGAAGTAGGAATGAATCAATAGATGAGTGGTAGTAATAGTAGCAGTAAAAAGGCGCTACACAATACGTCTGCAATAAATAAAATCAAATGCTTAACTGAATCGACCCCCAAACAATAGAGATCGACAAGAAAAATTGCAATTGCCATTTATCAAAGTTAATTATATTTAAAGCAAAAACGATAATAATGCGCTATATATATATGAGCTCCGATGTCGATTTACAATTCACTCAATTATTAATTATTACAAAGCAACAATGTTTAGTAGGATAAAAGTCGAATTCAAGATCTTTATTATGGAGACAATAGCGTAAAAAGGCAACACAAAAGTTGGAAAGTATCTAACAACAAACATTAATCACAACTAGCAATAATAAAGATTAACAACAAATCGAATAGGATCGAGAAGCCACTCTTCTAGCAATTGAAATATACACAATAAGAAACAAAATAATCTTTGACTAAGAAATGGTAATTTACACAATCATATATATATATATATATATATATATATATATATATATATATATATATATATATATATATATATCAAATGAATTCCAGTAACGAGAAAATGCGTAACCTGTCTAATAATCGAAAAACCAGAAGTGAACACTCATTCTCCACCTCCAAACAACACTATGAACAACAAAATAATGATTATACCCAGTACATGCGTGTGTATGTAAACATAATTTGATTTAGGAAGATTGAAAGAAAAAAACAAAAATCAAATGGTTTTAATTGTACAACTGACTAATAATCTACATTGTTTATATGCCATCTATTTATAGCGGATTAAATAGTTAACGATAATACTACTACTGCTACCATTACTAATACTACTACTAATAATAACAAACTTATAACATCCTCCCATACATCTCTTCTTAATTTTTGACTAGTTTTACTTGTCTTTTTCCTTTGTTTTTTATACAGAAAAAGCTTAAACAAAATAAGACAAGAGAACAAGATGATTTCGTGACTGGTGAAAAGTGAGAAAAAGGAAGTAAACAGCCTGGAAGAAATAAATAGATTATGCTCTTGAGAACTAGCAGTGACTAACAAAGGAAATCGATAAATGTCGATTTATAAGGAGATACATTATCGTTGACTTGAAGATGTAAACTACGACACTCTTCTAAGTATATCTTTGCTTAATGTTACAAATTTAAGGATGTGAAACGAAAAAAAAACAAAGAAAGGTGCAGAAAAAAAGGACAGAACAAATATATATATATATATATATATATATATATATATATATATATATATATATATATATATATATATATATATATATATACTCACAGTAAATAATTTCATTCTCTGACTAAGTGTCGAAATTAGAAGTAAAACCTAACTAAATCGACATATTTCGCATGATATTATTATTGGTAAAAAGTATTCTTACTAACACCACTAATCAAAACAATAGAAACTAAAGTCAACAGCAATGAAAGTATAGAAATAAATGAATAAATAAAGATTTAAACATATTACTCACTTTGTTTATTATAAAATATAGAGATAAAAAGGTTACCTATTAGTAATAGTGATAATGATAATCTATCGCATTATAAGATAATCGAGAAATTGTTGTTACGATGGTCGACATGGAGTTGAATGTTTTGTAAAATGAGACAAAGAGAGTGATGGGTGTGATACTAAAGAAGTTGGTGGATGACTCAAGGAACTTGATACATAATGTGTATTTTCATTAGTAGTATTATTATCATCATTATTGTTTGTTGGATGAGTATTCATAATCGTCATCGTCACATGATGATAACGCAAAAAAATAAAAATCGAAGTGAAATTTTGAAATAATAAAACTTGAATGTTATGTAACCAAATGAAAAAATGAAAAGTGAACGATATCGTAAGCATAATTTTAAAAGAAATGCTATCTATTTTATGTAGAGCAGGAGATAATGAATGGTAGTTACTGAAATTCTTGGAATTAATTCTATTAGATTGATTGAAATCATAATTGAAATATATTGATGATGTTTGATCTGGAACAACAGATGAAAATTCTGATATCAATGATGAATGATGCACTGATAAAAGTCGATGAAGGCAGCGATCACGTAAATGACTACATGAGTCATTATCGTTAGATTCCTCAACATCAGATGAATATGATAAAAGAAAATCAGTTGGAGTAGAATACTGTTTCTTATCGGGAATGGATACAGAAAGAAGAATTGAGTCTGACACACCAAAACAACACTCAGACTCACAAGTATTCACATCCCAGTAAACTGCTTGATATCTTGAACTGTGATGGTAATGACTTTCTATATTATAATAAAACAGAATGAAGAACAAATAATGATTTAGTGTTAAAAAGAACGTTTTTACAGTAAGTGAGTAAAAATATTTGAAAATAATAATAATTTCATGGGAAAATTGCATCATGAGCTAGAATACCACGTAAAGACATAAAATACTCCTTTTTGTAGACAGGAGTGATGATAGAAGTTGAAAGAAAATATAAGTTACGGATGGATTTAAATTAACAGACTTCACGTTACTGATCCGATGATATATATCAATTGACTCATTTAATTAAGTCTTGGCTACACTTCAATTATCGAATATTACGTCTAGCTGTTTCAGTAAAAGTGAGTTAGGCATAATATTGTGAAAGAAAACGAAAGGATAAGTTGACAAAGAGGATCAACCCAGTGATATTAGATATAATAAATAAATTTAACGAACAAGTATGCAAATAGATAAATTTGATAATTCATCAAGATAATGTTAATTTGCTGTACAATGTGGTATAACAATCTGGATTCTTGCACATGTTGCTAGGTTCTATGTTATCTATGACTAACTATATATAACATAATATTTATGAATAATTTAACTTAGTCATTCATACTCTATTAATAATCTCAAATTTCGAATTCATTTTATCTTTCAAACAATCCCCTGTTCTTTGATAAACAAATCATAGATTTATTTCACAAAAATATTAATATTTAAAACAAAGTAAACCTATTAGCGTGTATGTAACTGAAGACAAAGGAACAAAATACGATGAATCCGTCTTATTCTTGAGCTTGTTTAAATGAGTGATTCTACATTTACATTATATAATTCCACTGAATTGTTCAGTGGGTAGTGGATTGTTACACTAGTTATAGGAGATTGAAGATTATTTATTCCAACGGTTTTAAAGATGCAAATCGTGTATATACTAATACATTTCCTATATAAATATCTTAAAGAACCAAGGTATTGCACTACCAATAAGTTAAAATAGTTTATTGAATCTTTGACATAGTAGATGAAGTAGCAAAAAAAAACTGTATGCATGAAACTCCCGTGGTCATGCAAACAAAACCTCATTATATAGGCAGTAACGACTTTCAAATTTATCATTTGTATTATAAACAGATCTGAATTCATTGATTTACATACTAATAAGTATATCTGAAAATTTTAAAAAAGTAATTGTGTAAAATTTAGATATATTTGAAACCTTATGAGGTGGTAAAGTACATGAGAATTTATCTTAATACACACTTCCCAATTTTACTTCACAGCAAACCATGTTCCCTTTAAACAAAAAGTATACAAATATAATGACGTCGAAAATGCTGTTATTCAAGCTAATCCTCTATTTCTGTGTAATAGGAAGCCTCAAGCTTTAAAATCATTTCTAGGTTTTTTTTTATGAAATAGCATATGCGTTTCATTACTAATAAGAGAAATATAAAAGTTTAAAAAACTAGATATCTTTGATATATGGTTAAAATAAAGAATATAATTCACTGAAAGTTATACTGACCGAACTGAGAGATTATCAAACTTTATACACTTAACGTATCCATCGGTCTACTGTCATTACAGTATGACATTATACTGGTTTACCGATCACTAAAATTTTTGAGTGTATGAAGGGAAGTAATCGAAAAAAAATGAAGTTCACCAGAAAAATAGTATATATATATATATATATATATATATATATATATATATATATATATATATATATATATATATATTGATTCGCCATAATGAAGTACATATGACCTTGCAGAAAATCACTAATATTTACAATAATGGTACAACTTCGTGAAAAATGAACAATATTAAAAGGGTAATGATACATTTAAAACGCTAGCCAATATAAAATGATTGGACAAAAGTATGAATTTAGAATAAATATATAAAAGGGAAATTAATTGACTTTATATTAAGAGATAAACAAGAGTGAGTAGTTCATATTAAAGGGTAATCAATATGAATCTGTTATTTTTCATACCAGAATAACGAAGAAAGTACCGAATAGTAGTGATTGAATTTGGAAATACTCTTTAAACATTTTTACGTGAATTTTTCAACAATAAAAAAGAGATTGGATCCAAGAAAAAAAACAATAGACGTGAGTTAGAATAATATTTCATACACATATTTAAATGCAGATTTTGAACATTTTTTCTACCATCTTACGCTTCATTACCATTTAGCGAAAGACAGAAAAGAGACGATTATTATTAAAGTTTAATTAGTCATAAACTACTAGAATCGGTACGATGTATGGCTAAAAGAAGATAGAAATATGGCGGCCTGAACATGTTTAACAAAGGAATATACATAAAAGTACATGTTCTGGGAGGGGTTTGGAACTAATATGAACAAAAAGTGTGACTTCAAACTGATTGGACTATGGAAAATGATATGTTCACAAGTATCAAACCACTTTTTTTCTGTTCGGAGTCGTATCAACGTACGGAGAGATAATGGGATTTAAGCCCGGATACGAAAGACTGAGATATCATTTATAACCAACGTAACTATGTTAACGGTTAGGTATTTGTAAACCCACAAAAAAAGGAATAAATACAATAGTAATTTATTTCTTAGCACTAACTTTGACAATTCAACATCAAAGGTACGTGGTGGTGGGAGAATTATGTGCTTAACTAATGTTTTTTGTGTAAAATGGAATTGTCGAGTGTAAAATTTTAATGATGAAAGGAAAACACAAGATCACAGCATGAAGGTAGACAAATACTTGATAAAAACAGGAAGTAATGATCTTAGTCATGAAGAAAACTACCTGAATTATAGTAGATATTGGTAGTTAAGACAATTAATGATATAACTTATTAATTACATCGTAAAAGCTGGGTTAATTATTTATCATATTTTGTATCTTAATACTCTATAAGTAGTTTTCTTTACCAAGTTAACCTCTTAACCTATTTTATTATATTATTTGCCAATTTGATTTTTATGTTATACTAATTCAAAGTAGAGTAATTTGAATCGATTCAACCATATACTGATTTCTATGTTGTTCTCATCATTTCATATCATGGGTAGAAAGAATTTTATTGCTTTGGAGTTAGAGAATAAAAACATGATCTGGAACAGCTTTTATAAATTTTTTTCGCTCATATGTCTGTTAAAAGAAAAGGCAATATTCATCAAAGTCTAGAAAGCACTTAAGAATATATAGTAAATTTACAGTATTTAATTAAACAATTAAATATAACGTAAAATCAATTGTTTATTTAGGTTGTATTAACCGTTAACTCTTTATTAAAAAGCGTGCTAATTAAATTTTGTGAGTAATAAGAAACTTGACAAAATACCCGTATTCAAGCAGGTAAGGGAATGATAAACAACATTAAGCGTAAAACCATTTCATTCATTCCAATTCATAATTTGCTATACTAAAGTTAGCTAAAAGATTCTTTAAAAAAACCCAATACATTTGAGTAATCTTTTAATTTTTTTTTTCCATTAAAGTTACCAAAAAGTGGAATGCAACATTTTTTTTATTTATTATCGAATTAAATTAATCCATTTTGTAAAATCTAACAACCATCTAAGAAAACGTATATATATATATATATATATATATATATATATATATATATATATATACACTTGTAACTCAGTGTTTATTTTCTACATAAATTCTCATAAGTAGGTCAAAACAATCGGTAGAAAGCTAAATAAGAAAGTTAATTAATTATGTCAATAGAAAATTATATGTGTATATATATATATATAACGAGGTCTGGCCATATCACTACTGATTACTCTCCGATAAAATGAGTTCATTAATTTTTTTTGATAACGATTTTCAAATAAACATGAATAATATACATAATCAGTCTTCATTATTAGTTCTTATTTAATTAGATAAAGAATAGTAGGTTTAATGACAAAAAAATAATAATAACATTCAAGTGAATGAAATATTAAACGTAAAAGATTTGCCAAGTTCATTAAATGGTCAAATAAGACATTGAATTTCATTATTATAAACAAATGAAAATACAATTGATGATATACACATATATTACCGAAAATCGATTTGTTTTTTCTATGCATATAAACTTTGATCCATGATCCTCCTGATTACATTTCATTTCGAAATTTTATTTTATCATACTGAGCCATCCATTCCCAGTTATATTTTTCGCATTTATCTTCATGATGAATATTCAAGGCCTTAACAATAAGACTATTAGTTTCCATGATAGAAAATAATGTTTTAATACCTTTGTTTATACTACTTCACGGTTACCATGTTTCACAGAATTTTATTATCACTACTATTGTTATTATCGTAATTATCATCATCCTGATAAAATAAGTGTATATATTTGCGATTGTACAACCTTGAAAATGAATTCGCCAAAAAAGGAATTATTCGCTGAACCAATCTTATTTTAAGACTCCAATCTTTCTGATTACTTTGATTTGTCTGCTTTTTTCTATTCTCTCTATCTATTTTGTTTAAGTGTATTGGGAACTAAAGATAAAGTAGTTTTTGTTTTGTTCTCTTCTTTAGTAGTCTCAATCATAGGTAATTCAAGTTTATATAGTTACATTTAAAAAAAGTACTATCTCATGTTAATTTGACCATTCTAACGGAATCATTAGTACAATATAACTTTAGCACATAACTACGTAAAGAGTTATATACCTACTTAATTCCATGGTGTGAGAGTTTACACGTCAAGGTCATAGAAAAGAATTCTAAACATTGCAAATATATATTTCAGGAGATATATGACTAATCTATACAAAATCTGTTTGTTAATCAACTATAAATTTATATTTAATGTCATTTTGACAAACTCATCAGTTTTTTGTAATAAAAACAAGGATTAAAAAAGTTATGAAAATCTTAGTTTAAAGAGCTACTGGTGCACAAGTGATTGTTCAACTACTGTGAAATATAGTTACTTTAATTTCAATATTGGCAATAAAAAAATCATTAATGCATAATTTATGTTAACTAAGTGATATACAAACAAGTATTTATTAAACCAAAAATAACAAAATAATGACTAATAGTTCGGTTTATTGATATTATTCGAGTTTTGTATGATTATCAATTGAGTGTTTAGTCGATAAACAATTCCTAGTTTTCTAATACCGTTTATTTCTCTGTCACTTAGATGTTTGCATTCAGCGTCAGGATATCACTTTTTGAAATGTTCATCCTTCTATGACGCTTATATGTACTTCCCTATTTACAAATTTCCGAACAGTGAACTTTGCTCGACCTGACAAGATTAAAAACAAAATATATTTCAAAGAAAAGTCGGGACAAAAGTATAGTGGTAAAAACACAAATGTCTTATGTAAATTGAATGTGTAGCTTCTAGCACCTTCTGAATTTGCCCGCCACCAACGATTGGTTGAAGATCAGCTAGTCACATTACTCGGACTTTTCCCACACTAGGAACATAAGCTGACGTTTTGGGTGCCTATGCGCTCAGTCGATAATGCTGACCGGGAAGTGTTGATTATTCGCGTGACTTTTATAATTACTCGCAACCACACTGTCCTCCTGTTTTAGATCTTATTTAGTTTTTGTTATTGACCCTCCAAAGTAGTGTTGATTTTTTCAACATATGCAAACAAATTGAGCTTATGAAATGTTATACACAGTTCATAAGGACTGTGCATTTATCTATTATTTGCATCCTTTCGTATTTAAGTCGTACATCTAATCGGGCAACAGGTCTAGCTAACCGAAATTCTAGAATTTTAGTTCACGGATCCATACACAAGATCTATGGATGTCCTTCAATGGGGTTGAGATCGTTAATAGTGGATAGCTATATGTATCAATACCAACGTTGAACTTAATAGTTTCAAATATGTTTTTGTTATATCCCAATAGGTAGAAAAATTGTACCATTTAAACTTGTGTTAATTTAATTCGGTTGTTTATTTACTCTGGAGAAGTGCCTTACATCAAGTTACGAAACGTCAGAAGCACAATTTTTCTACTCATTGGGGTATTAAAAAATATATTTATTATTAGTGTATAGCCATTGCGAAATGCTACAAATCCGCGAATAAAGACTACAAATGAGCTTAAATATTAGAAGTCAAGTAGATAATATGGTTAAAGCTAATAACTATATGTTTACTTTAGGATTTTATATATTTTAGTGATTATCTCTTCCGCCATTTATAAATGTCTAGGTAAGTACCAATTAAAATCCAAAGATTATTATTTGAAGTAATACGCTGTTCAGTGTATTCGGAATATATGTTCAGTATGAGGTGCGATTCGAATAAGGTAGAAAACTATAAGGTTGCTGGATAAACTATTCAAACATATTCATTTCATCGTTTAAGCTTCAAGTAATGAATGAGCCTCTTTGTTATGATACTTTACATAAACAGAAAGACACATTATTTATACTATTATTATTATTATCAGTACAAATGAATAAGAAGAAATTGGAAATATTTACTTAGATATAATTCTAAGACTTGAAGACAACAACAATATTCTCCATTAAGAGATAAGATAATAATAATAATAATGGTGATAAGTAATAACTAATAGTGAGTATAATGAGACCAAATTAAAGTTATTCATTTCGTAGTCATAGAAAAACAAATGAATAATGTACATATATGGATGTGAGGAAGATATAATATCAATAATTAGCTATCATTAAAAACTAATCTTATTTAGTTTGATGAAATATACAATAATTTTTGCCTATATATTAACAGATAACGAATTAACAGATAGAAAACAGATGATGAGGACGAAAAGCGAAAAAAAATCAATGAGCTTTTATTTACTTAGTTATGGAGGACAAAAGGGATTAGAAGAGGAAGGCCCAAACAACAAACAAGCAGTGATATATATATATATATATATATATATATATATATATATTTCAGAGTACAACAAAAGAAAAGAGTATTGATGATCACAGATGAATCACTAAAGATGTAACTATACACTTGATCAATAAATAATGGAGAGCTGGTCTAAACTATTACTCCCGATAAACAAAAATAAGCTGCTTTTAATTTAAAAATTTCATTCAATAAACAGGAACTTTCAGTGTATTGTTTCAAATAATTTAAGGGGTTTATAAACAACACGTAGGAAACCTAAACATTGTAGCGAGAGATAGGGTATTGTTTTAGGATGCCACGGTTTCAAACACTATTTGATGAAAGAATGCGAAAGTGAGTATAATATAAGCGCAAACAAGAACAAAACATTTATATTAACACAGGAAGTTGATTAGAAACTGAGTTGTAAAAAATTGTTGTCGACGTAAAGAGGTTCACAAAAGTTGAACATAGAACTGTTAGGTTTTGTTAAATGACTGTAACTCGGAATCATCAAGTGGGACACAAGAATAACGAAATTTCAGAAATACCTCGTGACTGACTCATGATGCATACCTTGTACATACATTACCATATGAAGAACGAAATAACTAAACGGGCAATTATCAAATTAATCAAAATATTTGAATAGGTATTGAGAATGTTTTTTGATTACGGGTGCTAATAATGTTAAGAAAGCACTACTAATGAGCGGAAACATCTAATGTGGACAAGGAGATTATTCGACAACGACATCCCAATTATGGAAACCTTATGGAAACAAAAAAGACAGAAGACTGAATGCTGGAAGAAGTTCTAGGTCTCAGAAAATAAAGAAAACAGACTAAGAGTGATAAATAAACGTGTAAGCTGTTTAGAAAAGAGGGAAACAATGAATATACATATGTTTTATTATCCGCTGATCACAATATTGTATCATTATATCTAGAATTAATACAATCCTTCTAAATTAAGTATTTAGAAGCTCTGAATTTGATGATACGAAATTTACCTACATCTTACTGTTTCTAATACAAAAATATATTCCGTAAAATAAAGTTATTACTTACTCTGTAACTAAACCTTTGTACTATTCAGCTAGTTGTTTTTATTGAATCAAAACTTTTACATAACATGCAATAATGAATTTTATCGATCTATCTAACAAAAATATGAGTATGCATAAGAAAGTTGACTAGGGTTATTAACATTTATAGTTGATGAAACAATATAAAATCAACAACATCTTCATATCATACAGAGTGAATAAAAATGGACCAATAGGAACCACATTTCTAATCGCAAAGAACTCAGTAGTCAAAATGTAAGTGAATTCTTAAATAACAGGTAATAAGTAAACTATTAATAATGTAGAATTAGTTGAAGATACGGACCAAAACTAAGAAAAGAGAAGCAAAAATTGTACCGTAAATGGATTTGAGCAGGTGATATTTAATGACTTTTGATAATACACAGGCTTTCAGACCACATGAATGGCAAAAATATCTACAAATTTTGTCACAGTCTGAAAGATGACCGGACTATGTTAGGAGTTATACCCTAATAGTATCAAATAATATAGATTTACTAGGCATCAATACTATCCATATCCAAGGTTTTGGGTGAAAAATTAGTTTAAAACTAGGGTTTCCCAACTTAAACAAATGAGCACTCAATACCTATGTATTGGGTCGTCTATTTTACCACTTAAATTCTGCAGGAAACAGTTATCACTATGTGGAACCAATAGAAAATGCTTTCATGGTAGACGTTATGAAATAGTGATAAGATGAAGGCTTTTAAACCCAGTAACAAACATAAAAAGAGTGAACATATTTTAACATAGAAGGTGAAAAGTATAATTATTAGTAAGCATAAATATTATAAACAAATATGTACTTACCATCGCACAAAAATGCAGGTTCACCACCATTTGAGGTAGGATCAGCGGGATTTAAATATGGGCAAACAGTCTCAACCTGAGTACACCATGAAATGCAGGGTTGTACAATTTCCAGTCGAAAAAGTAAATGAGAATCTAACTGGAATTCTGTGGGGTTAGATTTTCGATATATATTCCTGGGTTTTGACATAGATTCTACAACAGATAGATCAAATGGTTGTGTCGGTGATGATCTATTTAAGAAGTAACTGCTCTTCCGAGGACGAGGCATTTTGGAACTGGTCGATAAATTTGAAATTGTGACGGGAACATGAATTCGATTAACTTCGACGTCAGTTATATCAGAATCCAGAGATTTCGAGTGTAAAGGTATACTTACATCTGCGTCATCAAGTGGATAATACAGTGGGAATTCTGTTGCACAAAACCAACTTCTATAAGCTTCCTATAAAATGAAAAAAGTATGTTTATAATTAGGCACTTGAAGGAAAAAGTCAGAAAAAAACTATAGCAATGTATGCAGATATTAATTAGATGTTAAGTTGAAATAATTAACATAGTTTATCGCATAGATTAGCAAAAAATATTACTCTGATCTTAAAAGTGGAATCTTTAGTTATTCAAACCGGATGAATTTTATGTTCCATACGTAAAATTCTGATCTTAAAACTGAAGTAATTGTCAAAAAAGTAAAATAAAACTAGAAGTCATTATGATCTGATTCATTTTTTAAATTACAAGACTCCCATTTCGCAAATAGGTGTGGTGTATTAACAAAGCACGAGTTACACGTTTGGAAAGGAATTTCTCACGACAGAGACTAGTAGAGAGTACGTACAACTTTGTGGAACAAAACCATAGAATTTAAAGCAAATAAACGCATTTTATTTTAGAATTATTCTTTATTATGTACTTGGTACATAACAGCATTTACCACAGACTGTAATAAAATGTATACTACCAAGAATGCTCAAGTGAATAATTTTATGCAAACTGTGATATTCGAAGTAGGAACCATTAGAGAGTATCGTAAATGTTCTTTAGATAAATTTTCGTAACCTTATCACAAGACTATTTATTTGGTACAGCAGATATACTAACCCAAACTAAACTGCTTCAGATATATTCTTTGAACTGATTGCTGTATACACTAGGCCCATGAACAGTAACAGATCTGTCTGGGACACCATAGATTAACGCTACAAAAGGTACTAAGGTTTTGTGATGCAATTAACTTATTTACGCCTAATCCAATATTAGAATAATAAATAACTTCAGTAACTTTAAGGACCTAAGAAGCCAGAAAAGTGGAAAATCAGTTAGCACAATTCTTTACAAATAAGTGGTCTTATACTTTGACTTTAATTTCACCCATGAGACTAATTAAAGATGAAAATAAAGGTCGCTAAACAATTAACGATTATTCACTTTATTCGCCAATAACAATCTGGAATAAACGATACATTCAATTTTACGATTTTCAATTACTCAATATAGTAGTACGCAATCTTTTGACGTGTATGATTGATTTATTTTAGTAAGGTTATCGTCTTGATGATAGAAACTGATACTTAACAATTATAAAATCTGGTACCAGCATAACACTGTAGTAGTTATGCAGCAAGCTCTGTATTTTATGGCCTAAAACAGTGTAGATTTGTGTTATACCGTGTGACACTGAATATATTCCCGAACGTTTTTTCTAAGAAGGGAATTTATGGGTGTATTCTTTAAAACTGATTTTGGTTATTAAAAACATATAAGCACTTGAATGCCTTCCAATATTTTTTTCATGGAGGCTAATGTGTTAGTCAGTTTCTTTGTTTATATAAACTAAATGACATGTACAGTATCAATTTTACCGCATTCAGTCTCAAAGTTAGCATTTTATGATTTATCCACTTTTGCTAACGAAATGATAACAATAGTTCCTCTGTTGTGTCGATTAGAATTATTATACCAATAAATTAAACGACGTAACACCTCGTTGTGGATGTTATATAGACTTTAATTTTTTATTTCGAAATAGCGTGATTGAAAAACCGGATAAAAATACTTTACTGGATGCTTACTGAGTAACACTACCTTTAACTGTTGAGAATTTTTTTACACAGCATGCAATTAAGTCATTTTATTTCGCATAATGTCTATTAAACAATAATAGGTTTAATTCAGTTGAAAGCAACCGCCTAATTATCATTTTGTTTACGTTGGTAATCATTCACTTCTCGGAAGTTACAGTTTTGTGCCTCTTAAGTGGGATAAACCAACTGTTTTGGTTCTTTGATTATTGATTTACCTTATCACTTGAGTTATTTATTTGTTCGAACAACATTCACTCGGTATGTTTCTTACTGTATGAAAGATGCTGAGACCCATTGGTCACTATCAATCAAGCAAGTGAAAGACAATACTGATAATTTACGATTACATTATTCTTTTTTTCCAACTCAACTGTAATGAACGAGAACAACTAAATGTATTTGAATAGAAAATTACAGAATCTCTTATTAAAATCTGAGAACCATACAGTGAATACTTCATTTGGGAAATGTCCATCAATTGTCTCAGACTTTATTGTTTCTTCGTTTCCATACCAATCATTTTTGTTCTCATTCTCTTCGATCTTCTTAACCTTCTGCTGCCAAGCATTTCCCTTTCAATTGATGGTACATACTACTTACATCTGTCGACATCAGTAGCACACACCGCACAACTATCTAAAAGTCTACGTTGGTTTTTGTTAGTAAATAATTTAACAGTGCCATCATAGCATTAACAAAGTCATCTTATAATGTCATCGATTGAGGTTCTTCTGTCAGCACTTTTTACCTTTCTGAAGAAAAATTTTCACGTAAAAAAGATATGGAAAACAATACATCCAAAAATACCGATCATACTTAACGGGTATACCGACAAGCAAATATAAGGAAAAGCTAAAGACAAGCTAGTTATTTCTGGTATTTTTAACAGATTTACGGGGATATTTTAGGTTTTAATTCCACCATAAACCCGAGCCTATGAGAAAAATTGGTGCTTCACACTTTTTCTGATTTTCTTACAATATAAATGCATAAGGGATAATACCAAATTGCATGCCACAAACTTGAGCAAGATTGGAATACATTTTTAAATATAATATTATCACATTACAGAAAATAAATCATTACTGAAAGTAGGCAAATAGAAATGCTCTAAACTATATTTATCTTGGCAAATCACAAAATGACCTAGTATAACGGGAGAGAAAAAAACAGGCCAATCACATAAGTTCGAGAAATTTCCTAATTTCCTCCTAGATCAATGAGAAATTTGAATTGAAAAATCGCTCGTTTGCAAACGAAGTCGTCACGTAAAAATTTTCCTCCAATATTTATTTATGTTTTAGCAAGAGAGAAAATTAAAACAGAAAGATTACAAATAGGCATAAAATAGAAAAAAGGGATGAATGGATGAACGAGAAAATAAGTGGCATTCTGACTGACAGATTGAATATATTTTAAATAAAGGCACAGTAGGAAATACTATCCATTCTTTCATCCTAAATGACACATTTAAGACAATATAAGCATAGAGACATTAATCAAAAATCGATACAAAAGAACTAACCCCGAAAGAAAGGGATAGAAAAATTCTAATAATAAACAGAAATACTCCTAAATTATTGATATAATATTTACTTTGGATAATCCCTACTTGAAATACTTATTTTAAGCTTCAAAATAAAACTTGGTAATCGATCGAATTCAGTTAACTGGTTAAAATTCATACACAGTAGAGAAAAACTAAGCGCTTGTCAGAGAAGTATGTATAAATCACTGATTGGTACTTACTGGTAGCGAAATCCTGAGTCCCATAAAACAGTCAGGGTGTATTTGGACGATTAATAAACGTTTAATAATGTTACCAACAAATTTATAAATAGTGGGCAGATAAATAAATAAAAGAACTCAATAGAAGTAGACAGACAGTAAATAATATTATAAAAGCCGCATGAAGTAGACAAATGGATGTATATATGAAAATTGTAAAATGTCCTTCAGTGTCTATCACTCAAGATAAACAGCCAATTATCAATCTGAATAAAAAGCAAAATCGTAGCAGAATAACGTTTTCCTACGGTTTAGCTCTTAATTCAAATTTATAATTGTGAAAAATCATATGGAAGATTATGATTAATTTATGTAGAACATTCACTACTTGAGTTACCTACAGTGACAAAAGTGAACCATGTTTCATATAATTATATGCAAGAAGGACCGTGGTGTCATTAGTGGTTCGTCCGTATATTCCAAGCTTAGTTTCTTTTTATGAACCTCAAAACCCTTCTGAAGCAATTTTATTGCTTCAAAGTTGATATCATGTTTTGTTTCTAATGTGTGTAGTGTTATCACTGAAGTATTCTAAAGCTTCTTGAGTTCTTCTAAAGATTCAGGAACATATTTCAAATATTATTTGTGTCACTTCACCCTAACATTTAATTGTTTGGATGCTCCTCCCGCTTACACTTCATTACACTCATGGAACTTAATTAAAAAGACAGTCTTGCCATTGCTTGTGTAAGTTAGGATAATCAAAGGTGTGTTAAGATTAGGCGAAAAACACTAAGTAAAGAGGATAAACAAGTTGATGAAGTAACAAGTTTTTATTAGCCGAGGTATTTGGGACAGGTATTGCGTCTACCAAACAACCGCCTAACCCAACACCCAAAGTACGTTGGAAGAAAGCTCAAATCAAAACATGGCATCACTCCATGTAGTTGTTGACTGATTTATTGAGTCATGTTGGTAAGTTTAAACTACCAGGTTGGAGTTCACACGATTTCTGAAACCCATTATTGGAAATATTGAGTGACAAAGCTCAGAACCAGTCTCAATGAGGGAGATGCATTCACTCTTTGTCGTTCCAAAGATCTTAAACTTTATAATTATCTTGTAATCTTTATTTTGCGAATTCATTCCCAACCTTAGCTGCTATTTTGACTAAACGGTTGGGCTTGCCTATTGCAATGACCTGGCCGACCTATATTGGCTGAAATAATCATTCATTCAAGTCCTACCATGAAGGAGAGATCGGTTGCAAAACAGTGCGACTAAAAGCAACAGACTAATGGTCCGAATGCAGGTAACCAGGAAGTTACAATCACCCTCATACCTTCGACAACACTCGAGATCATCATATTCATGGTCAAGTGCCCTCGTCATCTCTTAATATCCCTCCTGTTACCACGACCAACTCTACTTCTATGGATTTATCAACACACACTGCCAGTGCTAAGAATTTGAGTTCACAAAATGTTATTGCTTGTAGCCTGAAACCGCTCACGGAACTACATGTTGAGGCTTTCATTTTTCGAACCTCATGTTAAATAGGACAACAGATTGCCTCAGCTAGGACTCTAGAATCAAGAACTGTAGATGTATGTTGTACCGCTGTAACAGGATC